AATGTAAGTATACTAGGCTCTCCTTAATTGGAATAAACTTGAAAACCAAACTAGAAAGCACCTCACTTATCTTTGGTACAATTTAGTATCAACAAATGGGTAAACATCAGTACAATATTAAAAATCAAGAGGTACTAAGTAACGTATTTTGGTAGAACTTAAATTTCAAAAATAATTATCTACAACATAAAGATAAGACCTTAAATTATCAATAAGCTACTCATCATCATGGTCAATGTATAATATTTCAAAATATTCATTTAACTTAACGTCACAATCAGAATCTTCACTCTCCTCCTGCTCTTCTTCTTGAGGAACTGAAATGAGGAATTCTGATTCATTTTGAAGTGAGAGGCATTTCACACCCTCCTCAACATCTCCAAAATATTTGTCTTCATGATCTTCATGGAAAGGAGAGTAAATTAGTTGATAGGCTGGCCGTTTAAATGGAGTATTACACAGAAAGTATTCGGGAACAAACCACTCTCTGTGTATGGTTTTCAGTCTTTCTCTCTTCTCCCTCCAAAAACTTTCATCATAGTTAACTTCAACGGTAAGGTACTTGGGTTTTCCCTTAACTGTTGAGAAAACAACAAAATCACACTCCTCCACTTTCATGATATCCATTGCCATTTGCACCTGATAATACCACTTATTAGTTTCTTTCAGTTGTGGTTTACCTGTCACTTTATTACGCTTTAGGCAAAACCTTCCTAACTGATCCTTTGGTAATAATTCATAATCATTTGGATCCATCTCCTCAAGAACGGCAGGACACTTAATTTCCAGTAATTTAAAGATTCCATTCGAGTCGACTATTAGTCCATCAGGACTGCATGAAAGCTGAGGGCACATGGGATTCACCCACATGCCACTTACTACAACAGCGTGATGAGGGTGCACTTTCTTTAGGTCTCTTGCAAAAACTCTCCTTGCAACAGGTTCTAATTGTGTGCCTCGCTCCATGGCATCGTTTTTGAAAGGGTCCAAACGCCAAACATGTTTTCTCAAAAAATTCATTCGACCCCTTTCGCTTGAAAGCCCTAAAATTTGCTTTGCATTTGATGCAGGAATCCTGACAGATCTCTCACGAAACCAGGAATTGCTTTCACTCTGCTTTTGAGTCAGAGGGAAATGCAGAGGCTGTGTCATGGACATTTGCCTAATATTATTTAAATTCCAGAGCAGGTAACTGCACAGTTCCCCAAAAACAGGAGTCAAGTGTTCATCTGGGTAGAACTCAGCAGGTGGAGGACTGTGAAGGAGTTGATAGTACCAAAGAATTTTTTCTGGATAATCTTCAATAAGACTGTAGAAATATTTCACCTTAGCTTCATCCACTCCAACTTGAATGGCCGTAGGACGAGGATCAAAATGCCCTCTTCTGTAGTATCTGGCCTCATTGTAATATTCACCTTTTTCTCTGACTATGCCGGGCTGCCTGTTAGCTTCAGAACCTGATGCAAGCCAGTAGCACAATCTGCCAGTGCAAGTGACAGCTGTAAGCAAAGAAAAGCAGCTATTAAACAATGTTTAGTAATTCTTTGTTGTTTGTTGCAGGTAAAACTTCGTCGTTCCCAATCCATTCAATGCGAGAGGAGCTTCTTATGCTACGAAAGGGCAAGGCAAAGATTAGACTGGGATACATTTCAATTTTACACTGGTTTAACAAAGACCATGTTTGAGGTACTGTACACATTCCTGGGGGGGGATGAAGTTTGTGGATCCTTGAAATATAGGTACGGTGCCAAAACTCCCAAGAGAGAACAATTTTTAGGGGACTTGTATCCTAAGGACAAACTGTTTATGACTCTGCTCCGACTACGAAGAGGAATTCCCCTCAAAGACCTTGGACAGCTATTCAGTGTTCATCACACCTGGGCAGGCAGAATTGTCTTCACATGGGTGCGCTTTATGAGCTTACAATTCCAGCTCATGGAAAGCAGTATGTTTCCGACTGGTGAGGATCAGAACCTCCTGAAGCCCAAGTGTTTTGAACAATTTCCCAATCTACGTGCAATTATTGACTCGTCTGAGTTCAGGATCCAGAAACCAAAAAACTTTCAGCACCAGAGCAATACCTTCTCCAAATATAAGAAAGGTAATACAATCAAATTTCTTATAACCATTTCATGCCATGGTGGTTTGTCGCACATCAGTGAAGGATATGAAGGAAGCATATCCGACAGGCAGCTTCTCGTAGAAAGTGGTCTGCTCGACAGGATGCTCCCTGGAGAGGCTATAATGGCTGACAGAGGTTTTGATGCGGAAGATCTTTTCGATGAGAGGGATTTAAAACTCATCATGCCTGCATTCCTTGGAGACCGACAAAGTTTTACAGCTAGGGAGCTAATACGAAATAGGGCTATTGCAGTGTCAAGAGTCCATGTTGAAACGTTCATAGGGAGAATAAAGCAATTTCGCTTGGTGCGGTACATTATCCCTAATAAAATGTTGCCTATAGCAAGTGACCTTGTCAAGGTTTGTGCCTTTTTAGCCAACTTCCAATTACCTTTCATTGTTTATGATACTGATGACAACAATTAATTTATGCATTAAAAAGATGATTGTGATCATGAATAAATTGTGTTCTGTAATGCATTACTAAGGCAACCAAGAAGATTTTTTTTTACCTTCATGTCCTTGATTCTCCACATGGCGGCCAATGAGAAGGAGAACAGCCATAACATGACAGCACCGCCCAAGTGCCCTTGCCTTACAGCAACATCCAGCAGCGCACACTGATCCACTTTTTTTGGATATGGTGACTGTCACCTCATATGTGACGTTTCTGTAAGATGCATGCACCATTGCATTAACAAAATAGTGATCGTTTCTCTGGCAGTCTTTTATTGTGACAACTCTGCCACTATCTATAAAAAGATTGGCACGCCTCAATGTTCCATCCACAAAAATATTCTTCCGATCACTCTGAGTGGACACAGAAAAATCTACAAGGCCTTGTGAGTCAGGTTCAGATTCTACAGCCTCCACAGCCTCCACACCACCATCATATGTAAAACGAGTTTCGGGAATTTGCTTCAAATACTCCTTCGCTTTCACTGAAGAATACTTGTTGGGTATGTGTACACTGGGAAACGGTTTGAAAAGTGAAGGACCCCAGGGCTGCACTTGTGGAAGGCGAGAAATGATCTGCTGAGCCTGGAATGGAAGGAAGAATCCATGCGTTTACGAAGGTAATCAAAGCACCAAGTGACACACAATATTTGTAAATTACCTCAGACATCAGTCTCTTTCTTTTTAACTCATACCACTTTCCCCCGTCCACACCAGGATACAACAGCGAAGACACTTTGTTTCTCATGTGATTTTCAACCCTGCAATTACAATTTACAGATTTACAGTGATTACCTAGGGAGAAAGAAAATACAAAAATGAAAATGTTTAGTGAATTGCAACTACCTAGTTATCAGAGCCTGTCTTTTGCCCTTCAGAGGCAAACGCCTGCATTGCAGCCACCTAACCAGTTGAGCATTCTTGTAGCTTTCTATCTTCTCAATGTCAAGCTGAGCTCCAGGGACTTCATCTTCTTCATTCAACTGTGGATCAATGATATCCAGATCGAGATTGGGATGATCACAACCTGGTCCCTGTGTTTGGGTTGGTTGACTCTGACTCCCAGGGATACCATTGGGGATGGCAGTTACTTTCTAAAAAAAAATTACAGAACCACAGAGGAAAAAATTGATGTCACTGTATGTAAGTCTAATATTCAGATGGCAATGCTTACTTGTGTGTGAGGAGCTGTTGAAGTAATGCGACAACCCACTTCTGATGACACTTTCACATCCTGATTCTGACTCCTGGTGATGCAATTGGAGATGGGAGGTAAGTTCTAAAAGAAATCACAGAGGAAAAAAAATTATGTTATAGTGTTATCCAACATGAGACACATGAGAATACAGAACATCAATACTCAACATTAATTATCGGTTCTGACAAATCAGGAGCTTCCCACTCAGTTGGAAAGGGAGAAGGTGCCTTCTGTGACAGTGCCAAAGAGGACTCAGATGGTGAATAAAATAAGTCTAATGACCCGTCACTGTTAAAAAAAACATCCTCGTTGTCCTAAATTAGAAAAAAAAAATTGAGATTACTTGACTGAAGTAGGGTTGCATATATGTAAAATTCATTGTTACAGATTTAACAAATGGGAATGACATGCACTGATAGGGACCTGCTGTCTCTTGTCTGTCTGTAGGTCATCACCCACTGGCTCAACTGTCCGATGTGTGTCACCAGTCTCTGGACTTTCCTTCGGCTGGGAAAACTTCTCTATTATTTGTTCTGTTTCTAGGGACAATTTGCCTCCAGAATCTACTCTTTGATACCACACAAGATAGGCTTGCTCAGAGGACAACTTTCTTAAAGTGGAGTTTGAAACTTTGGTATCATCAAAATGGTACCAGCTATCAAAGAATTTAATGAAAAAATGACAGTGGATATGAACTTGATATTTGAATTGTACACTAAGGGTGGCCACACATTTCCTATCCTTATAAATATCTGTTACTGCTTAAGGCAAAACTCTCTAATTGTTAAATAGTTAAAACAAAGTACTAACAGAAAGGAGGACACTAATTGCTGAAGGGAAGCAAAACCTGTGACCACCCAATGACTCAGTAATGGCACAAAAATTTAAAAATTGAAAATGAGGAAAAACAGTCATTACCGGTCTCCTCTCTGGCTTATAGTCATATAATGGCCAAGATGAAGCACTTGTCCACGGTGGTTAGTCACTCCTACAGCACGATACAAGGTGCTCTGACCATCATATAGTGTGAAGGGGGCAAGATCCAGTTCAGGGCAGATACTAACACTAGTTTGAGACTTTCTCATAGTTCCGTCAAAGTGTCGATAAAACCTGTTATTAAATGAAACCAGGCACCCACTGAAAGACATGTGCAAAAATTTCCATGCATCTTTAACAACTGTATTCACCTTTTTAAATGTACTATGAGGACGGGAGGCAGTCTACCCAGCAGAAGTCGGTGTTGCAACCCAAGGCTTTCACAAGAACTGCAATGCCCATCAAGAAGAGTTTGTTGTTTGCAATACTCTGCTATGCAGTCCTGAGAGAAATAAATTCATTAGTCATCACTGAAACAGGGAGAGGCTGTTCTGAATCGCAGGTGCTATAATCACTCACTGTGATTGTAGGATTGCTGGGTGCCACTGACTTTGGTCCCTCTAATGGTGATGGCATAGGAACTGACAGGAGGTGATTCACATCATTGAACTGTCCACTTGAATTTTTGCATGAGGGGCACTCCATAAGTGTGACAGTTTGGACATGGAAAAACTCTGCTATGGGTGAGGTAGACTTTCTTGTCTCCCAGTGACTCTTCACTACCTCACCCAAACCATGTGTTTCAATATCTTGCAGGGGATCACTGACCTGGTGCTCAACCACTATCTGCAAATGTACAGGATTCATTCAGCTGTTGAACATATTCTATGTTATTTATAAATCTACATTGAAAGCTTACTGTTAACTCATCGTGAATTGTTTCAAGAACGAAGGACAGAAATTCCTGCGCATCCGCTTGAACCTTCCTTCTGAATTGGCTTATGCTCTCCACAGAATCCTACACATAATAAATTATTTTAATCTGTCAATAAAAGGACAAAACAAAAATGAACAAACACAGTTAGCTTGCAGTCTTACCACAAAGTTCACCATGTTGAATGGATCTCCTTCATCATTAAGAGCTGATATTACTTCCACTAAATTTCCAAATAATATCCACTGATTGTTGACAAAACCAGCATTACTGAGGCAAAACTCTTTAAATTTTGTTGCCATGAGGGACTGAACTATGGCATTCATGAAACAAGACTGCCCAAGGTTGAAAAGACCCCTTGGCCTACCCACCTGCAAAACATATTTGTGCAATAAGGTTTACTTAGAAGATTATTTAGAGAGGAATAATTGGCTTATAATATTGCACACAATATCCGTACTTGAGAAAACATGTACCCAGAGTTAGAGTACATGATTGCTGAATCATAACCTGTAAAAAGACAACAGTTGATACAAATTTCGGAACAGACTATCATTACACACACTTGCATTGAATTAAACTCACTTACTTTTCGAAAAAGTCAAAGAAAACTAGCGATCTAACAAGTCTTCGTGGCTTGCCGGTCCTTTATCGCGATTTCAAAACTCGAATTTCTTTAAAAACTCACTATATCGGGTATTTCCCGCAAACCACGGTTAAAATGGATAGCACCATCGTGTCCGGCGTGAAAATTTACTATGAGAGGCAAAAAACCGCATCGAAATCGGAGCTAAAATAAGGATTCCTGACTCTACCGTTGCGCCGCGCGGCAAGGGCTTCTGCTTGTTATGGGTCCGCGCTACGCGCTGCCACCGCGCCGCCATGTTCTTCTTCTTCTTCTTACTAGGCTCATCCCTCATTCAGCGGAATGCCATCACAACAGCGAGACAGCGAGGCGCAGCGTGGCAAGGCGTGGCGTGGCTATCAACAGCAGAGCCAGCGCGGCAGCTACTAGGCCTGCAGTGCGGCCCGCAGCAGGATGCCAGGATGCTGGCACACAGATATTGTATGGGCTGCGCGGCGGGGGTCGGCGGGGCAGGCGACGGCCACTATTGGATTGTATGGGATAGGGCGGACCATGTGGGGCCCGCAGTTTGGAGTTTCAGTTTCAGCTGGTTCCAGCCGCTGCCGCCCATGCCCATGCCCATTGTCATTGTCGCGAGCGGGGGATCGACCCACATATTGGCGGCGCTGAAGCGCTCAAAGTGGGGCGTACTACACGTCCGAATGGGGACAGAAAGTTGTTTTTTGACGTCACACGACCGTGTAATGCTGGCGGCAGGTGCGAGACGCATATCGCCCGCCGGCCGGGAAGCTCTAATTGAAGCATCGCAGAACAGGCAGACAATATGCGTCGCGCCGGGGAAAGACAAACTATATCTCAATTTATCAGCATCCTATCGGGCCCCCCCGTGCATCGTATCTCGTTCTTTCCAACCCTAACACCACACTTTTATCGGATGTGTCTGCGGAGACGGAGTTTGAACGTCGGGTGTCGGGGCCCTACTAGGCGTGGGTGCCATGTGAGCGTGCCCCCGCGGCCCCCGCCCCCTCCCCCGCCCGACCCTTTCACCACCTTGACGTCACCACCACCACCAGCCCCGGGCCGAGGCGGGCGGACGGCCGACCCTCGAGGCTGCTGCTCGCTGTTGGCTGAGCTGAGAGATGTGCTCGACGGAGGGGCTCCGTCAGCGTCAGCGCGTCATGGCGGCGAAGTGGGGACGAAAGGGAGGGGGCCGTCGGTTCACACTGCCCCCCGCACCCCCGCCCCTTCCGTCACGGGCGCGGGGCGCGGGCTCGCGGGCTCGAGCCGCGTCGCGCCACACCGCCACGCCGCGCCACGCTCGCGCCGCGAACAGCCGAGCAACCCGAACGAGCGGCCTCGGAGCCGAGCTGACCCGAACCGAACCGACTCGTGCCGTGCCCGTGCCTGCCGCGCCGTGCTGCAGACCGTCGTGTCGTCTCCGTCCCGTCGTCTGGTCTCTCTGAGTCAGTCAGTCAGAGAGCACGACGGGGGAGGAGGCCGCTACCGCTGCGCTCTGTCGTGACGCGTTCATTCACTCGGGTGCGGATACTCGCTCCCGCATCCACGCAGTGCATCGCCGTGCAATTCTGCCGACATGTCGGAGCCGCAGGGCAAAAGGAGAACGGTCCGGGTGTGGTGCGACGGCTGGTGAGTGGCCCTGACCGAGGGGGTGGTAGGACAGAGCTGGCAGGGCCGAGGGGCGGCCCCTTCCACCCCTGCCCACTGACAGACCTAACCTGACCGCCCCTGTCGTCGTGAATGTGTTTACATCTCGCGACTTCCCCCGCGCCTGGCCGTGGCAGTCAGCGGCAATTTAATCAGCGGCCTCGAGCTCTGTTTGCTTCTCTATGTGGCGCCACGGCGCCGCCTGGCCTTCCGCGGATGACAAGCTAACCTTGAAAATGCACTGTGAATCTAGGGCCAGCCCTTAATTTCTGACGTTTACACTGACGTGTAGGCTGCGTCCAGTCGATGCTCTCGTAGCGTTCTGTGCGCATACGTCTTTCAGTCGAACTGTCAGTGCGTGTATGATTGGATTTCGTTCAGGCGCCATAATTTGTTGCCAAATTGACCATCATGTTTATTGATTACAGCTATGACATGGTCCACTTTGGCCATGCCAACTCACTGCGTCAAGCAAAAGCGCTAGGAGATTACTTAATTGTTGGGGTACACACCGATGAAGAAATTTCAAAACACAAAGGACCCCCTGTCTTCAGTCAAGAAGAAAGGTAAGCTATTAGTCAAGCGAGTTACTTTACTGAGCATCGACTAAGTCCTGGATTAACCACTTCTTTCAAGGCCTTCTTAAAGCAATTGTAAATAATTGGAAAATCTATTAATTTCTTCGCACTTTTATGATACTCTTATGATAACTTTTTGATATTCCCTTCTTCTTTTAGATACAAGATGGTGCGAGGAATCAAATGGGTTGATGAGGTAGTCGAAGGAGCCCCGTACGTCACAACTCTTGAGACACTTGATCGCTATGGTTGTGACTTCTGTGTTCATGGTGGTATGTCTCTTCCTACTTGCTTTGTGTTACTACTAGTAATAAAGATGATATTCTAACTATTTATTTTGTGTTTTAGATGATATTACCATGACCGCAGATGGGGTTGACACATACCATTTGGTTAAAGCTGCAGGCCGCTACAAGTATGTTTAAAATACATAGGTTTAGGTTTACTGTCTCATGAACGATACATCTAATATTTCTGTTGAATTTGAAAATTTCTAGGGAGGTGTCAAGAACAGCCGGTGTTTCAACTACAGATGTGGTTGGCCGAATGCTACTCTTGACCAGAGAACATTTCCGTCAAGGTGAACGTGAATATGAAGTAAGCCGTGAGTCATCATCTACAATGGGTATGGACTCAACAGCCCGAAGTCCGTGGACAGGATGCTCTCAATTTTTACCCACCACTTCAAAAATAATCAATTTTAGTAATGGCAAAGAACCCCAGGTAATGCACCTACTCTAAAAACTCTTCAATGTAACAATAAACTTTTCAAAACATGCAAGTTTTTAAAATTAAAATTATTTTGTTTTAGCCAACTGACAGAATTGTCTATGTGGCTGGAGCATTTGATGTTTTCCATGTGGGACACCTTGACTTTTTAGAACAAGCACGAAAACATGGAGATTTCCTTATTGTTGGTCTCCACACAGATCCAGTTGTTAATAGGTATAAGGGTAGTAACTATCCTATTATGAACCTCCATGAACGAGTTCTTAGTGTCCTCGCATGCAAGGTACATTGCTTGATGTCTGTGGCTTAGTAGGTGAGAGTTCTAATCTCATTTGAACTGAACTAACTTATTTTTGCATGTGTAGTATGTTTCAGAGGTTGTTATTGGCGCCCCATATGCTGTAACTCAGGATCTCATGGAACATTTTAAAGTTAATGTAGTTTGCCATGGCAAAACTCACATCCCAGCAGACATGGATGGCAGTGATCCTTACATTGAGCCTAAAAAGAGGGGCAAATTTATTATTGTTGATTCCAAGAATGATATGACTACAGAGAAAATAGTCGACAGAATTATAATGCATCGGTCTGTTTTATCTTTTATTTTATTGACTCTAAAAATGTTACTGCCTTGTTCTATTTAACGAATGTTCATATTTTTTACAGCCTTGAATATGAAGAGAGGAACAAGAAAAAGGAAAAAAAGGAGCTTGCCGCGTTTGAGGCTCATAAAAAAAGTATACAAAGTAATACACCTTGCAAAAATCACATCAGTAATACCAGTCTGAACAACACTATGGGAAGTTCTCAACCTACAAACGTTTCAAACTAGTTTTTTTCCCCATTGTCATATTCCTGTATATCTTGTCTCTTAAAGGCCAAGGAGAAGATATTCTATTTTATGAACGTGTTTGCATAAAATTGTTCAATCAACTGCTCACCCAATTTTGTAAAATGCGAATACCTACATTTATATGTTCTATTGTTTTAAATTATGGCTACCTAAGTTTGGATCATTCCATAATAGTGGTTTTGCAATGAAATTTATTCTGGTAGTTGTAGCTCCATTTTCTTTTTGTTTTTTGGCAATTGTTTAATTGGTCTTTTCCAGACATTGACTTCTTTTTATAATTTATATGTTCCTTTTTTTAAGTGTTATTTGTCTATCAGAGACGCTTTAGGCTATATGTCATTGTAATTAGTATTTCAAAATTAGACAATTACCTGGGCTTGGAAAGGGATAGTTTTGGAGAATGGATTTGTCTTCCAGATCAATTATGATGTTAGGAATGGTCATGGTTTTGCAAGTAGATACACCCTTGTCCAACCAGAAATCATTACCTGTCTCAACTTCTTCCATTGTGATATGGTTAGTTAAATGGAAACCTGTAGCCTTTGGCAAGTCATTTTAAAGCCCAATCAATTTCTTTTACAAGTTTGATCTTGTTGATTTCCATGTTTTGTTCAATGAATGTAATTTTACTGCTCTTCCTGCCGGACAATGCTTCTACTTCTTTATTATTGAGATGTTGGATGCAGTTTATTTATGCTTCCATTAAATTTAAAACTATGATTGTTGCTGATTGAACTTTTATCTTTTTATAGGTTTGGAGATGTTCAGTGTGCAAAGTTATTCTAGTTTTACCAATATTATTATTTTGTAATGTGATTGACTTAATTAATTTCCAATTTAAATTAATATTTAAAATGTTTGACTTTGTTCAGTTGACACTTTACAACATGTACGTTTAGAAAACCCAACTATGTGCTTTTAAATAATCATAGAATTGGAGGACATTCCTTCCAATTGAAAGATTGAAAGTCTATTGTACTTTTGTGATGGTGGTTGCTGTGGATGTGTTTTATTTTTTTAAGGAAGCTTGTGTAGTGCCATTTTCAATATTTTCCTTATTAGTAGTTGTCTCCCATCATATATGGGAAATTTTCTGTTTAATGCACAACCCTGTGATTTAGACACACATTTTTAGGATGTGCGTCAAATGCAATAGTGTGTTCCTGTTGTCATAACTCTGGACTGTGTTTTTGGTCTGGTAGTTAGACAACATTTAGCTGAAATGGCTCTTCCTTCCCGTCTGTGTCGTACATGTTATTTCAAACATTTTCTTATGCTTATTAGATTAAAAAGCGTAGACTAGTCCTGCAACTTTCTTCCTCCGTGGCCTTTCTGCTTTTCAAAGTTTCCAAGAAATCAAAAAAAGTGAAAGCATTATTGATGCCTTCATTGCTTTTGTCACTTCGTAACTTAGGAATACTAGTTGTGTGGGTTGCGTTAGGTACTGACTGCCCTAAAGTGGTGCTAGACTAAATAAGCAACTTATTTTGAACTAGCCGTTTTATCATATTTGTCTCTTGACTATCACCTTTATAGATTGATTTTATCACTTTACTATGGATTCTTAATCCATTGATCATATAGTGCTTCAAGTTAAGGTCTTCCACTTATCTCCTTAGGGACTGTGTAATAATCACTTGCAATTGCATTAAAATCCTTGTACACCTTTAGTATTCTGGGTCTATCAACCATTTTGATCTATAATTTACCCATACTTTAAAACTGGAATGTCTAATTATTTTTTGGTCTCTTAAAAATTTACTTGTAAAGCTGCCTTTTAACAGATTACGTGTTTTTCCATGCAATATATTTCTCTTAATTATAGTGTGGTTACACTTCTCTATAAGTAAACATCATTTGTAGTCTGCACTTTTCTAAGGCATTTGTACTGAACAATAAGCTAGAACTTTTTTATGCTGCTCTCTAAGTATATGTTAAGTACCCACCCACAGAAAAGTATTAGTTGATACAATACTATTTTGCAATGTTTGGAGTTGATTTAATCTTGTGGATTTTCTTGCTTAAATGAAATAATTACAAAAGTCAGACTTGAATTTTTCGCTGTCAGTCCTCTACATTTCCGTGTGTATTGTACTTGTGACTCAGCTTGTAATTTTGAAAAAAAAATCCTCTTTTGTTTGTTTTTCTTTCTTTTTGGTTTCAATGTGTTTTAAAATCTTACTCTCAATTATTCTCCAGACACTACCTTTTACATATCCCTATAAAATAATTACTCTGAGTCCGACGTTGGAATAAAATGAGGCATTTTAATATTTTACTTAAATACTACTGTGTTTTGTTCTATGCCCTAAATGTGTTTACTATATCTCCTAACACTGCCGGTGTCTCTTAACCAGGAGTACTTTCAAAGTTAATGTGGTAGAGCCGTTAAATGAATGAACCTCCATGTTACATTTCTCTATGGCTTGCATCATAATTGCCATTTTACTGTGGCTCAACCATGTTCTCATTGCAAAATTGTTTTATGTAGGTTTTAAAACATTCCATGCAATATTTGGGAAGTACTGTTATACTTTTCTGGCTCATGGAACATTGAAAGAACAATATTCATTGTTTGTGGAACAGGCAAAAATTAGGTCATACCATTGTCACATGTTGTCAATGTAGTAAAAGTTAGTGTTTATAGGGTCATTGATGACATGTCAGTCTTTCACACAGGATTACCTCAGTTTATTCTTTCATTTCTTGCTATACATCAAGTAGTACTGAGTGATTGAACGAGAAGGTTTAGAGTATTGTGTGGAATTTTTGCTGTGATTGTTGTTCGAAATTTCTCATTGACTTGTCAATCGTCATGTACATCAAAACTTTACATGTAAATTTTTACGAATGACTGATCATAATCCTCTGCTATCTACACACTTTATGGTTAACCTTTGAGCATTAGACATTAGGTTCAAGTTTAAAAGATAAAAAATCTTTCTTTTGTTGTTTAGTATTCATTTTATGTTTATGTTCCATGGTACCTTCTTTATTTCTTGGTCTGTTGCCTAGTCATGTCGCCATCTATAGGCTGTAATATATTGGGACCTGATTTCATTCACATTGTTGTACTTTATCACCTAATGTGAATTGTAAATGGACCAATTGAAATAGTTTTAAAAAAAATCCCACCAACTCATAATTAGTTTTCTTTGTTCAGTTTGTTTGTTATGTATGTAAAGGGAATAGAACTATAAATAAATGTCCTTGTGCTGTTTTTGAAGTATGTCACATTTTACTAGGCCACCGAAACTTGACCTTTCAACTCTTCCTGCACAACATCCTGTTGCAAAATTTCATTAATAAACGTTTCTTAAATTGGTAGGGATGACTGATTTATGATAGAATACAAAGATGAATAAATTAACTAATA